AAAACAATAAAAACAGCTACAGAGGACAAGTTGAGGTACTTGGTTATATAAAGGAATGTCTTTGTTTCTTAAGAAACAGAACTTAAAATATTTAGGGTTGTGGTGTCATGATGTCCATGATATATGCAACTTTAAATGTTTCAGGAAGAAGCATGAAAAGAATGATAGAGCAAAATGCTAATAATCTAGGGAAAGGATAAATAGGTGTTTATTGTTGTATCAGTGTATCAGTTGTTTGTATCTACAAATCATCCCCAAACTTAAAACAAGCAAATAATAGTTATGATGACTCGGAATCTTTTGGTAATAATGATGATAGAAAAGAAGGGAAATGGAAGAGAAGCAGCAAGTCAGGTCCCAATTTACACAAAAGAAAATAATTTTATTTTCATTTAAAAAAAACTGACATTCTAGAAATTATTTCTTATTTCAACTTTTAAATCATTGAACGTTCAGGTTATGAATGTTCTGATACTCAAAAGAAACTAGACAACATCCTTTTCAGTTCAGCAGCAAATATTTTGAGTGTCTGCTCTGTGCCTGGCTTATTTTAGGACATAGCCAGCTTGTTTCTTCCAGCTCTACTATCCTTTGGTTCTGTGATACTAAGTGCCTAAATACAATAGCTACTGTAGCTCAAGGACAAGTCACATTGGTTGTCCTCAGCTTGGCATTTCCTAAGCAGAAACTTAGACCTTAGTTCCTCAATTTGAATGTGAAGATTGGTGAGGCCCTAATGGCAGAGCACAGTTAAGCATCCCACACACTGTTGCCAGTAGGAGAAATGAAGGAGCTGCGTTATCTTTAATACATTGTTATGGCTTTCATTTCTCTTGGAATTGCATTCAAATCCTTTATTTTGCATTGATAGTTCTAGACTCTTCACCCTAACAGCTATATTTTATTCAGTACCTACTATGGGGTCAAACATTTAAATAGGCATTATACCTACTTTATCCATAATTCTTACCACACCCATTTTGCCCCAAATTCACACAGCTGGTAAGTGGCAAAACTGGGTTTAGCACAGAACATTTTGTTACTTTAAAACTAGGAGACTTTCCTTTACACTGTCTTACCTAAACCTCAGTCATAGAGGGAATCTGAGAAGAGTGTAGCTGGGCAGCTTGCTTTTGTCATCTACCAGACTTACACCCTCTCAGCCAAATTAGAAAGTACAAATAAAATATAGGGTTTTTTTGTTTTGTTTTTTAATTTCCCAGTCTTATCACTTATCATATGGTACTGTGATGAAATCTTTGCTTCCCCAATGTGGGTTTTTCTCCAACTGTTTGAGGGCAAGAGAACTTTGTTTTATTCATCTTTATATTTTCAATACCCTAACACGTAGGTACTCCACAAATGTTAGTGAACTAAATTATTAATGGGCCAAAGAAAAAATGTTATAGTAATGGAAAACAAAACATTTTCTTATGCTTTTTCTTATTTACCAGATGCCCTTTCTTCACAAAAGCAATTTTCTGATATGCTCAGTTTTCACTGTTTTGGCCTGTGGTTTAATTGAGCTCAAGAAAAAAAAAAAAAATCAGAAATCTGACTCCGGGGTTTATTTACTAGTTGTTGTGCCTATAATTTAATGAGATTTATGTAGCCCAAATTTGCTAGCATTTGCATATTAGTAAGAGTCTTTATATTTTTCTTATTACTATCATAACAGAAGAAAAGTTTTTTTTTTTTTAAACTTTTACATTAGAGAAAAGAGATTATTTTAAGATTATTCTGTCTCCCTTTCTGAAAGCTACCATGGGAGTACCCCTAGCCTGAAGATCCTCTTCGGATACTCTTTTTATTGTCTCCTTTTTCTCACAGTTGAGAGCTTAAAGTGAGGTGTTTTTTTTTAGTGTGTTTTATTGGCATCTCATGTTTAACAGTGTCCGGGGTTTGTGTCCCTGGACGAAAACTGTTTCTCCAGAGCCTTTTTTCTCTCAGCTTCCAGTGAAAAGAGGGGCGAGGCGAGCCAGTAGCTTACCACAAAGCACTGCCACCACAAAGGAAAGATTAAGGGTTTAGAGAAAGGTCAATGTGGGTTTTTCTCTAACTAAACACTTTCCTAAAGTTTCCTTGTGGAAAAATAATGAAGTCATCTCAGAGTTTTTAAAGAATTTTTATTTCTTTTTCACCGTCTGCATTCGCTTGTCTTCTCAGCATGGATGTTTAATCTTCCTAGGCTTTGTGAATTGGCCCAAATGAATAAGTGGTGAGCTGTCTCTCTAGGAGCTAGAGGCTTATTCTAAGGGCCTAATCACTGTGTAAACACATCTTTGCCCTCCCTCTCACAACTGCGATATAATAGTCGAGATTCTAGCACAGTAACCTGGATATTGCAGGGACCAGTGCTTTGAAATGCAGAATGGTTGATCCTCCAAAACAGACAGTGCCTGATCTTCGCCTGCCTCTTTCTTCTTTTGTAAATTAAATATTGCCAAAGAGATGCTGTTTTATTGCTTGATATTGTGCATTAGTGCCCTGGATTTCCAAGTTTAGTTTCAGTCAACACTGTTGGTTGCACTTATAGGGAACTCTGCATGTTGGGTTTCTTGGTAGCCTCTTCGGCACATGTGTGTTTGGTTTTGGAAGAGCATTTAAATTAAATCAGTGAGATAGCAATACAAATCGCCAATCTCTTTCCCAAAGTTTAAATGTTCCATTGCAGTGTTCTTGAGAAATAGGCATTTTAATGATTTTAAGTATTGCCATTGTTTGATTAGAAATATGCTGATTTAAAAGTGCACGGCTCTTGTTCCCACTATCTCATTAAATATAGTTGCTGAGATACGACTGAGTAGAATTAGAGGTTGACATCCTTCTGTCTATTCAGCTAGAGAGCTTTAAGAGGAACTCCGAGTTTGTTAGTGCTGCCAGGTTCAGTTCCTTTCCCCAAAGCAGCAGATTTCTAGATTCATTTACTGAAAGCGATTAGGCATTGCTGCTGCCATTTGGTGTCTTTTTTCTGCCTAGAGGGGCTGTTTGAAATCAGCATTCAAATTTCTTTCAACAAACATGCTGAGATCTATGCCAGCTTAGGGATGCAAAGACTGAAAGAGACCCAGTCCTTACACTGGAGAGACTTTGTCTAGAGGGGATACTGGTAAACAATCAGAATACTAATGGGAGGAGATAGAGGTCCTGAAGAAGAAGCTCATAACTCTGCTGAGGGGATTGGGAGGTTTCACAGAGGAATTTGCTTTGAGCCTTAAAAGATGAGTAGGAATTTATCAGATAAGTATCTCTTCAACAATGTATATGATTACAATCTTCCTAGAAGCCTCCACTGTTTTCTGCAAACTCAACATAGATGAACCCCGAATCTTTTTTACTCACCGTTTTATCACCACTGCTTCCTGCTGGGCCTAACACAAAGTATTTCAACAAATGCTTGTTGAATGAATGAATAAATGACATGAAACATGGAAGCATCTGTTGTTGGAGTAGCTGAGCTACTTAGGAATCCTTCCCTTATTCTCCTCACATGCTGTCTGAGGCTCCAGAACCACGGCTGTCTGAGCCGGGACCAGTCTGGCCTCTTATATTGTATAAGCACTTTAAGCCTTACCTAAAATGTTGGCAATTCCCCTGCTATTATCAAAGAAAAAAACAGTAGGTTTGGAGTCAGTCAATCTGGGTTTTATACTGCTTACTTTACTGGTTATGGAATTTAGGACAAGTCAGCTTTTAAATTTCCTCATATATTAATGAAGTTAACACTATTTTGCAGGTTTATTCTGGGATAAAATAGGTAATGATATATAACTGCCTCCTCTTCATAGTAGATGCTTTTTGGAATTTTAATCTACCTTCATCTATTATAAAGTTTAACTTTGCAAAAGATAATTTAATGATTTTTTTAATAATAATTTGGTTTATTTATTGGGATAATTCCATCAGATGATAAGTTGATCAGACTTCATTAACTTTCAACATGAGCCTTGTATTTTTCTATAAATGTTCTTTGATTTAGTATCTCACACAAGTTTTTCTTTATCATCATCACATCTTTATCTAATATGAAGGGAAAGACCCTGAACTTCCTTGAAATTTTCCTTTGCTAGAATTTCAGATGTTTGTAGATTGTCTTTACCATAAAATTTTACCTTTCCATTTCCTAATAATTGACTATTTTTTAAAGTCAGCTTTTCTACAAGAAGTCAGTTAACGGCAATTTAGGCTCTTTAATTGTCCTTGTTATTGTTAAAGCTGTTATGTTGGAAATTATGTTGCTCAATTTTAATTTTTAGTTTCAATGACCTTACTGAATGTCCAACTATGATGGGACACTTTTAAGAGACCAAATATCATTTCTTGAAAGCAAGTTTTAACAGATAGAAGGGAAAGAATAATTTTCCCTATGAGAAACTACATTATTGGGCATTTTCGGAAATATAAACCAGAAAGAATTCATGTGAAGTGAACATTTTTCTATCCTTTCAAGTGGCAATTAGAAGTTACCTGCTCTTGAATTAGAACTTTAATATGGGGACACATAAAGCGCTTTAAAATTACCTGTAGAATTAAAGCAAACTGCATTTTAGTCATTTTCCTTTTAGATAGAAGAGACTACTCAGTGTTTAGATTAAAAACATTAAAAATATATAAAAAGAATTTGACATTCACTCTTTTTAAAATTTCTTTATTGATTAAGGTGTTACATATGTGTCCTTCTTCCCCCATTACCCCTCCCATCTCATGCCCTCATACCCCTGTTGTTTTTTTTTCTTTGTATAGTTGAAGAATCCAAAATAAAATTTGTCTTTACACATAAATTATTAAATATGAAGAATGGTAAATCCATTTTATTTAAAGAAAATGCAATTCTTTTGCAATTTCTGCTTGAGATAGGCTTGCACATGTTAACAGGAGTCTATGACAGCAGTCTGTAAAGTCTTTGCTGCTTATATTGATTGAATCTGATGCCCTTCTAAAATTTAAAAAATCTTACATTATAGATATTTTAACTCATCAGTTTTTTCTTTTCTTTTCAGAGAAAGCTTCTTGCTATCTACCTCCACCATGATGAAAGTGTATTAACCAACGTGTTCTGCTCACAGATGCTATGTGCTGAATCTGTTGTCTCTTATCTGAGTCAAAATTATATAACCTGGGCTTGGGATCTGACAAAGGACGCCAATAGAGCAAGGTAATATTGTTCACAACTTATAGTTGGGCTTCTATTCTTTTTTTTGTAAAGCCATCATTGTATTTGGTTTTTATCATCATAAACATTTTCATCCTCAGCATTAAATTCTGTCATTATATTTAATTATAAGCCACTTATTCTAGCTAAAATATGCAATTAATCACAATTATGAATTTCTTAACTTTTAAAGATTTCTTAAACTCAAGAATAACTAGAAAACTAAAACACATTTTTCTCATCTTTTTTGCAATAAGAGATATAGTACATTTCTGTTTATTGTATGTTCTAATGTTGTAATATGTCGTTGAACATTTAGAGAAGAATCTGTTTTTAAATAATGTTTAGAAAGGAAAGGCAAGTCTAACATAATCCTAGTAGCAAGTTTATTTTTTAATAATTCCAGTGAAGAAGACATTCTGGATCAGTCCGGTGGAATTGGTAATAGCTTAACTCTAGCATATGCTAATTGATGTAATCGCTTTATTGCACATATTCTTTTGCACACATCCATAATCTCAATAGGAAAAAAAATCCTTTTTCTAGTTTCCAGGGTAAATTTACTTAGTTTGTTAATCATAACTGTAAGTGATGAATAATTCTTCATGCATTTCCCATCTGAAATATATTTCATGGTGTTTAATTACACATGTGGCCACAACATCCCGTGATGTTACTTTGGGTGTGTTAACACAATCATAATCACAGGCTATTGGTTTATGAACAAGAAGATTAAATCAGTTCATTTTAAGGCAAGTCTATTGTAGTTACCTATTTTAAGTGATTATAGAACAATTAGAAATTAAATAATCTGATTTGTTTTTATATTATTTTGCGGCATACTAAATTTTTGCTCATGTAAGCTAATTCTAAAAAGACAAATGATCTTCCTTTAAATGTGAAGCAAAAGAATGTAGAAGCAATTCCTTCATCTAATACTTCATTTCTTTAAGCAAATGGTTATGAAATTTCATAGGATGACTTGGAAATGTTCTGCCTTGGAAATGTCCTGTGTTATACATAAATAAAGAACCCTTAGCACCTGTATTTGTTTAAATTAAATCAGGCTATTATGCACACTCAGTTAAAGGTGATGAAAAGCAGTGCCAAAAACAGATAAAAATGCAGCATCGAAGGTCTTTCATGAGGCAAAATACATAGACTGGAGACTTGGCTAAATCTTTTCCTATTCACTGGCAGTAAGGAATCTCCTCCTTTCCTTTTATCCACAACTTGATGGAGAAGGAAACACTATTTCTAAACCATCTGTAGTTGCTAAGTTCAGCGGGCTACCTGCTGTTATTTTGTTCTATCCTCCATTTAATTCCTTAGTTCCTTTTATTTTACAATGACAAAAAATTGCAGTGTAGTTTCTTTTGAAAAACAGTGTTTGAGGGTTTTTTTTTTTATGACTGGCAATCAACAGCCATGTAATTGCTTTGTTATGTTTTACTAAAGAAGTCTGTTAAGTAGCACAACTTTGATACACTAGTAATAAGAGTTTGCAGGTTATAGAGACACCTGTGGTGACCAAAGCGACAGAAGCTGCTTATTAGAAAGAGCCAGTACAGCTGTGTCCTATTAACTCCTTATGACACTTTTTTAAAACACAAAATAAAGGCCTTGTTTAAGGCTTTAGAGCTATTTCTCAATGAATTGAAGGATGGGCTATGAAGTATGATAGGATATTTCAATCTACATTTTTTAAAATGTGGCATCTTGTTATTAATTTTCTGTAAACAAAATAGTGATATTAAAGACTGAAAATAGAAATATCTAAGAATTCAATTTAATAAAGAATGTAATGATTTCTGGAATTAAAAATACTTGGCATCCTTATTTAAAATCAAATTCTATCTGTATTATAAATTGAAAACTATTTAAGGTAAATTATTACATTTCTCTCTACAAAGTAATATAGTTATGTACCTATTTTTCATATGCAGTTCATCATTATTACTGTTAAGGCAAATAGGGAAATATACATTTCACAAATAAGATGAAAATTCATTGGACTGACATATTCCTAATAGAGAATAAAAGTGGATTCCCTTTTGACATATGAAATTGTATGAGAATTAGTTATTTAGGCTGATATTAATGTCCCCAGAAAGGGTTTACTTTAGCCACAAGTCTCTTACCACCTGTCATAGATTCATCTAAATAAAATTGTCTAATTGAGTCTCATCTCTGTGGTCTCTCTTGGATTTTATCACCACATTTATCCAAAGGTGTTTGTCATGAAAATTAATTGCGCCATCCATTTGATGCTATTACCATTGAGTAACAAGACTTCAAACTTTCAATTCAGTAGAAGGCTGCTGCATTAATTTATTGATTAGTGGGCTACATATGGAAAGTTGTTATGCCATTATTTGTCTATTACTAGGGAGTTAAAATAGGACAGATTTACATGTGGAAATATAGAAGAGATTTCCAGGCATCAGAAATAAGTTTGTTGCTGTAGGTATCCTTTTACCTATGGGGTGATTGTTTTATGACAAAATGTAAAAGTTTAGAAATGAATGTCTGGTGGATGGCTTGTCTGGTCCCATACGTGGCTATTTTAGTTGAGGCTAGTCATGTTCAAACACTCATATAAATTTAGAGAATCCTGAATGCATAAGCTATTTAACCTGGATGCTTCCTTAGTGGTTTTCTGGAACTATCCCTAATTTAATAGCCAGGGGAAATTGATGCCCAAGATGGGTAGAGATTTGCCAAGCAAATTTACTTTTGCTTACAAAATACTCTGATTAAGCCTATAGAAACATTGGTCCTCCTCAATTTACTATGAATCTCTCATGTCTGCAGAATATAAGTGAAGGATATGGAACCAAGTGAATGCTTTGGTAGGGTTACTAGAATGTCAGTTGCTATTTCCTCATTTCACTAATAAACTAGAGTAAAAAATAAACAAATTTCTGTAGAATTTCACTGTTATACATCCCTGTGATGTTGATGATTTTGGATTTTTCACCTCCAAAATAATTCTAATAACTTTATAAGTTGAATACTTAAGTTAACAAACCTATATCTGTATAAAGTAGATTAGAATAATTCCTAGATTCATCTTGGAATATTCCACATATGAACTAAGACATCAAACTTTAGCTGTAATGAGTATTACAGTGTACATGCTCATTGAATTATTGTATAGAACAGCGGTCATCGACCTTTCGGACCTCATGGATCACCAGAGGTCCGTGGATCACCGGTTGGCTGGCGACCGCTGGTATAGAAGGCTTATTCATTTTATTTGTTTCATTAAACAAGGGACTCTACAAAATTTTAGGGGAAAGAAACTCAATAAGCATTTGACAAATTAATGTATTATATCCAATTCCACCTGAGAATATTGCTTATAATTTCAGTATTGTATATTGACGTGGAGGTTTCTTTCTTAGAAAACTCGGAACAACCTGGTTGGCTGTCATGTCTAGTTAGATTTCAGGGCCACTGTTTCTTAAAAAGTAGGCAGAAAGCCTTTGTCAGTCTTGAGAGGTGCTAGAAAATACAATATAATTTTCTAAATATCCATTTAAACAATAGCACTGATAGAAACAGTGAGCTATGCCTATAAATGAAAGACATGAAAGAGCTAAAAACAGATAGTAAATAAGGAGATTGTACAAATCCCTTCTGGAAGCAGCTAAAATATATTTCAAGAAAGATATATTTCCTTTATGTTTATTCATTGAATAAACATTTAATGTAATATGAACCAGGGGTGCTGCTTTACAGTGAAGATGAAAAATTGAAAAGATATAGTGCTAATGTTCAAACACTCATAGTCTAGCAGACAAGACAGACCTAGAGCTAATATGTAATACTAGAGGCCCTGTACACAGAATTTATGCACGGGGGGTGGGTCCCTCAGCCCGACCTGCACCCTCTCTACTCTGGGAGCCCTCAGGGGAGCCCTCTCCAATCCAGGAGTCCTGATGGCTTAGACCCACTCCCCAACATTCTCTACGCTCTGTGGTGCCTGGCTACTCCAAGCCCACTGTCCAGAGGCTCTCCATGGCTGAGGCAGGACGTTTGCTTCAACAAAGCAAGCATTCCGCCAGGTTGCTCACACTGCTCACTCTCAGTGGCCGCCCCCAAGGACTGGGGGACTTGCGGGTCTGAGGGGATTGGGCGCCACCATCTTGTGGCTATGGGCGATTCCATATTAACCCTGGATGAATTAATCCAGTGGTTCCAGAGTTTCTTTCCTAGACTCACCAAGTTGCTTCATCAGAAAAAGTCACATGACATTGTGGCTGTGGGCAATGCCATATTTGTGACAGAGTGATGGTTAATTTGCATACTACCTTTTATTAGATAGAATGAAGTATGTACAAGGTGTTTTGAGAGTATAAACAAACGTCCTAATGAGTTATTCTATCTAAGGGGGCCAGGACTTGAAAGAGAATACACACAAAAAGATGACATTAGAATTTTATTTTTTCTGTTCAGAGATTTTTATATTAGCAACATTCCTAGTTTATTAAGTTGCAGATATTTGTTATTCTTACCAAGAGGATATTGGTACTATTTTAAACTTCACCATTAGGTGTCTGAAATGAAGAGTCAATGGTTTACAAACATGACTGTGAAAGAGAGGAAAAAGTAGAAGGATATGGCCAGCTAATATCATTCCTATTATGGTTTGAACCAAATTGAGGATTAGGTTCACCCAACTGGGATGGACAGATCTCAAGAAGTTGTTTTCTTAATGATTGATCCAGTTGTGGCATATGCTTACAGGCAAATAATGGAGCAGAGATCAGATACTCTTTTGGATTCTAGCATGTAGACACCATCATGGATTTAACTAATGCAATAAAAGTACTTGTAGCACACTATATTTATAGTGAATAAGTTCTTGAGCTATAAAATAGTAATTTCTTAAAATTCAGGACTGATATCACCTCTAGGAAGCTTCGTCTCTCTCTATTCCTTCTCTTGACTCATTTTGGGTTAAAATGCACATTCTATATGTTCCCATATATCCCTAT